TGTCCATAGTCGTCTACTCCCATCCGTGCAAATTTGTTCCGATTCCAAACTTAAGGTGGGGTTGGAGATAGGATTGATATCGAAGCACTTCGTCCCCGCTCAGCCTCGTTCGAGTCCCCGCGGCCAAGTAATAAAACATCGAGGATTATTCTTCTCGCCACCTCGAAATGTTCCCTGGGGTTGCTTATCGCTGGGAAGTAGCTCCTCCGCCAACTCCTTCGCATGCTAGCAAGTGGAATGCGAGAGGAAGATTCTCCCTTCTGACCTGGTTTTGGGGAGCAAGTCAAACTCTACAGAGAAAGGGATCATGCGTTGAGACAGACGTCGGTTTGATCAGAGGGGCCGCTGGAAATGAGCGACGATGCTAGCGATCATCATTGTTCGCTCAATTTTCCCTCGATCGGATGCACGTGACGATCCGGTGCGATTCCTTGAGACTTATAAGATCACCCCTTCGCGAGCTGCTCCACAAAAAAAATAACGAAAGTTACCTCAAGCATTAGAGGAGGATAAATCCTTGCCGCACTCCCGAAGAGCGTTTGGATCTGGCATGATTTCCCGTCATGCAAGGTTGTACATAAGTCCTTGCAAGGCTCGTTCTGGGGGCGTCCTGCATCCGAACAACTTCAGAGAAAGCTTCCTCTGGTTTGTTTCTATATTCCACGTGAAGCTCCTGTTCGGGGATGCTCTTGAAGTTGGCACGAATCTGATTTGATATTCGGAGGGAGGTTCAAGAGAGAATTTGTTTTTTTTTCTTTCAAGATACAGCTCAGTTTTCGAGTTGTTTGCCGTTGTCTGGCTATTCAAGCTCAGAATTCCAGGCTATTCGACAAACCGAATTCCTCGCCCCCCCCCTCTAGTGAGCCTCTCTTGGAAAATCTTCTGCTGAGACCTTTCGAAAAAAATCGGGATTCAGTCGGCGACGGGAATCGTCGCGACTGGAATTTCTCTCAAAATCGTGAGTGTTATTTGCGTTCCGAGTCGGCTCAATGCCGGTCGCGTCTCCGTCGACCTTCTGGAGGTGGAACAAGAGATTGTGGGAGAGCCTAATGCGATCATTGGGCTGCGTCATCATGTCCCTCCAGTTGCTACGGAGTCGTATGGATTGCGGGACGAGAAAGCGGGAATGCTGGCTGACATGTTGCGATTAATGAGCCTTAGCAATAGGTGTCACTCATTAGTTGTTGACTGATGAACTCACCACTGCAAGGCCAGTGCGAGGATTAGAACGCCTATCGTCGAGGATGGATCCGAAGAGCTCAGCTTGAAAGTGTTCCGTCAGTCGAAGAAAACCAGTGATCGAAGAAGGAGCAGGGCATGAGACGGAGAATCGTGCTCAGTGGATTCCGCTCAAAGTGTTGAGCGACGCGGACGAAAGGAGGGGCGGAAATGTAGATGTGAGCGAGGGCGCGATCTGCCTGATCTAGAAATAGACCCGTCAATGCCAGGGTCTTATTCAGCAAAAATCAGGAGAAAACCTCTCGCTAATGGAACGAGTTTTCACGTTGGCAGATTCGATAAAGGAACCGATTGAAATCTGTTCTATTCATTCGAGGAATCGTCCACGGTGTTCGGATCGACTTCACCGGTTGGATCCTCGCAAGATCCGTTACCTGTGGGAATCAATTAAATAGGTGCCCTCTCCGAAAATGCATACCGAGTCCATTCCATGCGGAAGACTGAGCCAACGGCTTTCTCTCGAATCACTCGCACTGTTCTGCCGAAATCAGTCGTTTCGAGGATTTCATCCGCTTACGAATTTGCATTCTGCGCACCCAGAGCTGAGCGAGACTGGCGGACGATTCCCAGAGATAATAATCTGCGTGAGCTGGAAAATCAGTCTATGTCGACAAGGAGGAATGGAATGCGCTTCCTAAGCAGGTCAACGAATCCTGCGAAGTATTCCAGCAACAATGAAACGCAATTTCTCTAGAATCATCCTGGAGTAATCCTCCATGCTCGATTACGGAGTAGCAATCCACTTGTCGGTCCAGAGGATTGGATTCTGGCCCTGTAGGAAAATGCTCCAGCGCATCTCCGACACAGCGTTCGTGCTCGAGATAATGACGATCGACGATCATGGTGCCCCTGAGTGAATCGGAAGTTCTCCTCTCGACCACAGCACGCTCCGAGTGGGTATTGCATGGATACTCTCCTCTAGAGCTCCTGAGTGAGTTCTCCTTCGAGATTTCTGTGATACGATGCGTCCGAGGGCTCTGCCAGAGCATCATTTGGATCGGGAACGTGAGATCAGTGTTCCGCTATGAGCATTCGCCCAAAGTGAATTCGAGCTCTGGGACGTCTATTGAATATCCAGCAAGAGCAGAGTTTGAACGAGCCGCTCCCGATGGCCGAGAGGAAGGAGACGAACCAGCCATAAGGGTTGAGCTCATGAAAGACCGCGTGGAGCCATTTAATTCGCGGTCGTGTGGCTAACCCCAGGGCCTGACGATGATTCATTCAGCTGTTCTCGACGTAACCTTGTCAGTGGGCGCAGGCCATGATCCAAATCGGATGGAGCCTTTTCATGCGATTCCATTTCTCCGTCTATTACGCGAAACCACGGCCGCTCATTGAAGCAAAAACTAATTTTTCTCCGCTTCCCCGCTTCGCTTCCCGCGGGAGGCAACATCGACTTTGTTTCCGAGGTCTCTGGCTCCACACGTTGTCCCACAGCGGCAGCTGCTGCCGCGGTCTTTCCGTGGCCGGGATTGTCCTTATTCACTTTTGTCCTCGACGTGGTGTACATTAAATAATATACTGTGGAAACTTTGAGGTCAAGAGACCGTTGATTGTGCAGCTGTTGGAGATGGATGTGGAAACCGACTCGTAGCTTGAGAGGGATCACCGGCCTCATTTGACGCCTGAACGTCACAAAATAGAGCGCTTTCAGAGAACGACGGCTTCCTCAGGACAGATTCGCTCCGAGCCTTTGTCCCTCATCTATTATTATATTCTTGGGGCAAGAGTAACTCGAGACTCGCTACCGCTATTGTCGCCCCTGATTGTTCTTTAAATCGAGAGTGATGATGGGAGTTCTCCAGAATGATTGTCGAACAGTGCGCGGGAGCAACCCGACCAGACGAATGAACTCCAGTCAGTCGACGATTCTACCGCGGGAACATCGTCAAATTCCTGCTGCTCCAGATGGCTACTGACACTGACGTCGACGGACGCGGCTCCTGATCGACGTCATTCCATGAAAAATTCCGCCACTATCATAGCCCTCCATCCATAGTCGGCATGTCGACGTTTCCTCCCGCCGGGGCCGTCTTTCTATTTTCGGCGCTTTTCTTCTCCCATGGATTTCTACGCCGTCCGCAGCGCTGGAAGCAGCTCGTAGCACCCAAGAATTCTGCTGAGCATCGGAGCCGAACACAGATGTGTACATGTCTGGAATTCTGACTCGCCACGAAAGACTCGTGATCCAGTCAATCCCGGACGTGGAGCTTCGCCGACGAGGCCGACATCTACATGCAGATGCGAAAGCGAGTTGCTGGCATTGGCGCTTGCTCGACGACGTTCCAGGACCGTCGGTCTATAGATGGATCCAAATTAGCAGTCACTAATCGCAGCCGAGCAAAAAAAGAACGCATTAGAATCGGATTTCGAATTACTTCTGCAGCGAACTCGCTGTTCGACAACCTCGCACAACAATGAAAGCGGAGTTCTTGATCGGGTCTGCGAGGACTCGAGCTCTCAGGATTCTTCTGCTAGCGGCGACCGAAGCTTCGCTACATTTATTGAGTGGGACTCCGTTCCCGCCGAACAGCACCACATTCTCAGGAGTTACGCTTGACCCTGAAACTCTGTGGATCCCTCGCTCGCCGAAGTCTTGATGGCTATATCATGATATGATGTCCTCCCGACGATAACCAGCCCTCGAACATCGCAAGCTTCGGGCCGTTACGTTTTTCGGGAGCGAATAACAGTTGTCATGCGTAGAGTCAGGCGAAGCAAATAGTTGTGGCTCGGCTCCAAGTCGGTAGCAAGCTCGTCGGCGGTTGTAGCCGCAGGATGAGAATCCCCCTCTCCGCGCCTCGACGGGATCGGCCCGTCCGCTTCTTCATAACTCTGATGGATGACATTGTACGGACACACGCAGCCATCCATTCCCTTCCTACTTCCCGTGCGCGGAAACGCATTGCCGCTCTATGAGACACGCACAAGAAGCTAGATTGCGACGTTTAGGGTTTTCAAATGTTTTATTTTTCCGTGCTCACACAGTTTCGCTTCTCAGGTTAAGCTCGGATGCGGCCCGTCTCGAGACGGGGAGCCGCTCGGGTCGGATCGGGGAATCTACGGCGAGTATCGGGAGCCGTCAGCTGCCCGTGCTCGATTCGAGCTCCATCTTACAGGTTCGGAAATCACTTACGCAACGATCATCGTCCACGCAATCGTCTCCATGGCATTCGCCCGTATTGTGTGTTCGTGAGAGGATAGAGACAACATCAAAATATTATTTTCCACCCGACGACTTCTCATCTCGTGAAAATTAAAATCGAGGTCGGATGATTTCTTTGGGAATCGTTGAGGTACATACACCAAGTTCGGGATACGAGTAGACGGTACTCTCCCGTGGGAAAGAGGGCTTGGATCGCCAGGCGATTAGCGAGCTTCATCTCAAAAATCATGTACATATCATCACCATCAGTGTCGGGGAGAGATCATGATCATCACAGTCGGCTAGCTCGAAATTTTTACTTCTCCCCCTGTCTCTCGTCTTGATTCCAGTAGATCGGTTCGTCTGCGATCGCCAATAACAGCGATCGGACGAAGGCCCTCCACTCACGCGTGGTAGCCCTCTGTTTCACATCCCAATGAGGTCGAAGTCATCGTTCTTCATTGTTGAGGATGACCTTCGGAGCTCGGATGCGAACACAGCTTCCCTGAGCGGAAGTGTCGACGTTGAGCCGATGATGGGCCCATGTTCCGCCAGACGGTCGGATTCCGCCTGCCTCGAGGAGCGGGTGGATTTTTCCCTCTGTGTTTGTCGTTCATTAGTTATTCTCCTGCAAACGTTCATCACAGCTGACTTCCTCCACACACCAAATTGTTGGCTCCCGAATACAACCTTCAAAGAGAAAATGAAAGCATTCAGCGCGGATTCCGACTACTCAAACTCCAATGGTTACCCTATTATCATTATTATTATTATTATACTGTTATTACAAACAATTATTATGGTGAAACACATGAGTCACAATATCGCCTTTTTGGAACACGGGTCGTTCGGTCGGTGGGTCGGTCGCTTGCTCCAAGGAGGAGACCTCTGTCCCTCGGCCGCTAAAAATAACCATGTGTTCACCATCCGCCTTGGACTCATTGAATTAACTCGGGAAAAAGAAAGGCCCAGGGGGGAATCTGGGCCCTCTCATTCATTCTTAAACGATGTGAGCGCGGACTTCCGGAAAAACCTCACTGACAACGACCGCGGCCGACAACGGCGCGGTTCTCAGCCGCTTTTGGGATTCACTCATTTCCCTCCTGGGATTCTTTTCTCGAGTTCACATCCGGTGTCGAATCTAGGCCTCGTTATTTAGTCGAGACTCCCGGGACGCGAGTGGCCAGCCTGAAAGACCTCGTTGGACACGAACAGCGCGGCTGTCGGCCAAGAGCACGGGTGACCAACGAGTCCAGGAAGCGTTTCCAAGCTAGACGACTTTCAGACATGCGTATGCGGAAGAAGGGCGGCGGCGGTGGCGTCGTACGCGAGGCCGACACCGAGATCGCTGCGTGGAAGCGCAAATCGACGGGGCCGCCGAAAAGGAAAAAACGGACGACCGAGGTCCGCCCCAATCAAGTTCCGCGATGTCTGGTCCTGCGAGTTTGCTGCTAGTGGTCGACCTCGTTGATGTTGTTGTGCGGCAATGCTGCTTCTCTCACGCTCGACGACTCCCACCTACCTTTCATCGGAGGTGGTGCGTCGCGGAACGTGACTGCTGTCCCGTTGGGTTCGGAGTGGCTTGGTCGAAGGAGTTTGAGATGGGTGGGCCCTGTTAATGACTGAGAATGATGCAAAGGAATTGGGATATCCGACTGCACCGATGCGCGCGACAATAGGCTTCCTTCGGAGAGACGTTTTCGTTCGAGAACCCTCTGCTGGTTCGACAACCACACCGATGAATACGACATTCTGTGGTCACCTGAGCGGGAGAGAAGCAATTTTTAAGATCGTAGCCGCTGAGACATACCCCCGCCGCGCCGGCTGCCTCTATTCCGCAATTTCCCGATTCGACTTGTGTGAGTTGCGAGTAGAGCCCGATGAGGCGACATGAGCTACGGAGACAATAGGATGTGTAATCGTATGAGGCCGCCGAGAGCGTGACAGCGTACCCGTAGATACGGTGCAATTCGGGGGAACATCGACGGAATCAAGGACTCTAACGGCCAGATACAGGATGGTGTGCGAGGGGAGTCGTCTGCATACGAGAAAGTGCACAATCAGAGCCATGCGTGCTTGTTAGTGGACGGAAGACACACACGGCACGCTTCTCGGATCGTGAACCTACTGAATCGATGTTCAGGATGTTTGTGACCTCATGGAACTGCGCGTCGTCGTGCAGCTCCGTCGATAGCGTAACGAGCCTGAATTGCAACATTCGACTGACTTGCTTGGCAGAGTATATATGTACTTTCTCCATAGCTTGTAACTCATTAGTCATAAGTGGTCTCATGTTTGTAGGATGCCGTCATAAGTACGAGCAGTCCTGCTTTCGCGACGGAAGACGCTCCCACTAATTAGCTTCTCGTTCTATTGAGTGCGTAATTTCCTCCTCGAAGAATCTCTCACAACTCGTCGCAGATAGGGTCTCGCTCACTGATGGAGCCACAGATAAGAATACGCGAGGCTCGTTTGTACGGTTTTCACTTGCCTCGAGGATAAGTTGGCGCGCCTTTAAGACCGCAGCAACGGCAGAGTGTATGTCGGAAAGCCGAACGGTACTTCTTCGAGATAACGTTGTAGAGGATCGGGTTGGTCGTGCAGTTCGCGTAGAAGAGGCAGCCTGTGAACAGATAGTGTTGTCTTTGATGGCATTGACCCGTTTACTTATCTTACGACCTAATAGCAGCCTTCCCAAAAAGACGGTCCCTCCCCGTGGGGGTTGAGGGTGGCGGTGGCCGCGGTCGTCGTCGTCTCCCCGCCGCCCATAGCTGTGAGGCCGTCATCGGGGCGAGAATGGATCACAGAGGAAATAATTTCAGCGGCTCCCCTTGTCGAGTTCTCAAAGCTCCCGGGATACCCCTCCCGCGGACGATGAGTGTCGACATTAGTCCCCAGCAACATCGACAGATCGTAGTGCTTTCCAACACTGACTGAATCCGCACTGAAGAAGAGAGTTCCCCGATCCCAATTGATTTATGTGGCTGGGCACAAGGATATCGACTTGGTGGAAAAGCGACTGCGGGATCGAACACGAAAACAAGTCAATCAACATAGACTCCCTCCCCGGGCAAGACTCTTCAGCTTGACTCGCGTTCACGGAACCTGATCGAACACGTCAAGAAGTTTCTCCTCTCGTCCACGTCCCTTGTTTTAGACCAAGGGCGAAGCGGAATTCCTTCGATACCACCGCTGTTATAAGGAGTTCGCTCCTATTCAGAGGCGACTCCGATCACTGCGTCCTAGGGTCGAATTTCTCGACAGGAAATTCCCGTGTCCACGCAGGATAACGGAAAAGATCCGATTCCACAACACACGGAAGTTGAAAACGAACCGATAAGTTCTGAGGGGATTTTCGTTAGTCTAAACTCGACGAACCCTCCTCTATAACGGGGCAATTCCCACCGATTAATTTATCGGTTCCGAACGACGCCGGCATTCCCATGGGAAGATGGCAAGGGAAAAAGTTCCCTACCGAAATTAGTTCATTCGGAAAACGTGTGGTAAAGGCTAGAATGCACGAGAGCGGAATTCCCTCTCAGCCCTCGGACATCCCATTTATTCAGACTTCGCGAGGTTCGCTGCTTCTTCGCGTGGGGAATTCGCCGTGGAGAACAATCTCGTTTCGCGCAAAGGGCCAATGTCGAATGATTTAGTGGCGAACCATGTATACGAAATGTCTGCCTCTTCATCTTTGCATCTACGACACCACGTCCGTCCATTCGCCGGTTCGCTCTCTCGCGTCCTCGCTCGTTCTCCTGAACGTTCAGCCACGGACTACACCTACCTCCTATGTAGAAGAGTTGCTCGTTGAAGCTCCGCAATTCATTGGACCAACCCATGTGGGATCCGTAGGCGTACATCAGCCTCTGAGTGTGGTGAGGCGCATAACAGATGAAGAAGATGATCACCACCGAAACTGGATTGAAATTATTCAAGGTGAATGTCTTTCAGTTCGCAACACTTGATCTTCGTCGGCTCGGCATCGTATAGGGGGGAACTCCGAATACGTTCAGAGGGCACAGAGGTCGAACACGCGTTGGCGGAACCGGAATTCGGGAGGATGCTCCCGGGGCCTCCGGATATTGCTCAAGTCGAATGGAGGTCGATCGTTGAATGCAACCAGATTATCGGGATCACTTTCGTGCAACGCCTAGATAGAGACTCACCGAGGAGTTTGATAATTTTTCGCGAGCTTGACAGGTGGTGCTGCTGTTGACGTGTCCCGTTAATGAGTGAGAACTTTCTGACGGGCGCCCCACACACGCTTTTACTGGAGCCTCCGTTCGCACCGTTGACGTTCTTAAAACTTGTTGAATTGCTTCCGGATTGGCCTTTGTACAAGGTCGATCGGCGCAGTTTGAAACCAATCCGCAAATACAAGATGACGATGAATATCATTGGAAGTATAAAAAATATGACTGTCGAGCCCAACAGCAGAGCTGTATTGACATCGTTGGACCCATGCAGCAGGCAGAAAGCCGAGTCGTCCAGACGGACACCTTTCACTGAAAACAAATGGATACCATGTGAGGATCCTTTGCTTCAGCGAGCGCCGCCATCACGTGCGTTGTAGCCGACGATATCCGTCCGTCAAGTTGGCACAGTGAGATTCAACAAAGAGACTTTCGGGACTGAGCTCGTCATCATCTGTGGGGCATCACTCAAATGGTACGTGTTTACGTGTGTTGTTTCTTGCGACGCAAACAGAGCGATCTATCAGTCGGCGTGCTCAACTCAACACATCTCTATTAGACCCGCCAGGCAAATATTCCCTGCGAAAACCGTGCATTGAGCTCGTTTGCATACAGGAGGTCTGCTGCGCGTAAGGTCGGGCGGGCGGATCGATTGATTGGTGAGAAACGGCACAGGGGCTGAGCGGTGTAGTACTGCGGGGACCCAGCGAGGCCATTGTGTACACTCACCGAACTGATACAAGACGCTACTTCTCGCTGCCAACGGAAGCGCCGACAGGAGGGCAATCAGCCAAATACTGGAGATGATTTTCAGCACTCGTGCCAATTGATTCGACATCTTGTGCTTGTACAAAGGATGACAGATTGCGAGATATCTGGAAAATGCGAATCAGATTTGACTTATCGCTATTCCCATTGAAGGAAGGGGAACCCTCTCTTATATTTCCTTCCGGGTTGATTCGAATCATGTCCGTGTGAATGCTCTGGGATGTACGATGGGCCACGAACTCTGGGAGGAAAGGGGGAGGGGTAACTAATTATGTGGCACGGCATTCTGGCAATAATGAACGCCCTTAGGGGAGTACAATGAATATGTGATCTCCCCTTCGGCGTCGGGCTCGATCGATGTCGATATCGATCGGAGTCAATGTGGCGAAAAGATCTGTGAAGTGTCGCGACATTCCGTCGGTCATCGAACTGGTTCAGTTTGGGAGGAATTCCAAACGTTGGAGACACTCAACGAGAAACTTGAGCCAAGAATCTCGTCGCGACATACTGATCCGCGATTCTTTTATCTATGCGACTTAATCCATGAGAATGAGGTGTGCAGGTCGCAGGGGAATGAATACACATGACAAAGAACGTCTTTACATAAGGATATCAGAGACATTGTAGGAACCCATTCCGATTGTTTGGAGTTCGATCTCCTACCGCGACTCAATCCACTCGAAAGTAGACTTCTTTCATCACGTTGGGCCTATTCATATCCCCGAGTGATGACTGATTCAACGAAAACGTGAGAATGGAGATTGGGAGGACGTACTGAGCTATATACTGAGGTGGATGAGAACGAATTCGAGGTCGGGAGTGGTATCCGAAACGCCTCAATATCAGGATTAGAGGCTAAGGGCCAGACAATTATCATCAATCAATTTCAGCCCACTACTCCTCAATGGAAAGCTGAAGAAACGGCGGCTCCTGCTCTGACAAATCAAGCCAAATCGACCGAAGACCAAGGGACTCTACAGAGTTGACTAGGAATTCCGATAACCACCCTTGACCTTCCGTATTTATGATCGATCACGGATTCTTGATTGCTCGAAATTGTGAACCTGCGTGGAATGCTGTCCGACGAGTAATCTTGGTCGTCGCATAATACCTGATGAAAAATAATCTCGGTTTTCGAAATCGTTCCCAGAGTCAGAAGAGAAATGCTCAGGGAGAGAGCAATGCCTTCCCGCTGATCTCACTCTGGGGGCTCACCGTAACGATGTCCTCTAGAATGCTCTAAACAAACTCGTAACAAATCATCTCTTTGACGATTCCTTGCGCAAGCCTCTGATGCAAGACCCCCGATTGTTCGGCTTAGCGAAGTCTTCTTGACCGATAATAGATCTCCTTTCCAATCGTCCTCCGGGATATGACGGCAAAAAGAAATCGACTTAGAGCGAGGGACATAATTGGAGGGAGTAAGTGAGCCTGGAACACTCCCGACCGAATCGAGAATCGCCTCGAAGAAATGAAAAAGAGATCTCTCAAAAGCGGTCGGACACCGCTGCGAACCATCAACTTCCGCGAGACATGCAAACTTCATAAAGCGGGCGATTTTGCAGAGCCGTTCCGTTTGGTTTTCAAGATCATGGCGAGGTACGTCGAACAGAGATTCTTGATTCAGCGTCTCTGGCATTTGCTCGGTCGTTTTGGACCCGAACTTCGCAAATGATGACAGTGGCGTGGTAGGTCTTTCGGTTCGCCAATTTCGAGAAGTTATTGCCACAGATCTGCCATGACGCTTTCGTTCTTGTCCTTGAGCTCATCGGAGGCAGCCGATGATTGATCATTTGGTATTTCCATGAAGCGGAGCCGCTTCTCGATTTGTGCAAGTTGAGGGGAATCCCTTAGCTAAGTATTTTATCGATGGTCGTCGAGCAATGCAGTCGCCACATCCATGAATTCTTCTGTCGAACTTCCGTCAGAATCCGCGAAAAGGGAATTCTTCAACTTGCCTTTCTACGGTGAATGCGACGATCGTTAGTACTGATGCATTGACCGTCATCTCAGACACGAGGGCTCGCATTGAGCAGAAACTTGAGCTGAACGCGTACGGGTATTGTTTCCAGTACGTGACGAGATCATTGGGAAGGCCTGGAGACGAAATAAGAGCGCAAGGGTTAGCGGATGAAATTACGTGACAACCTTCACGAGCGTTTCAGTCCTAATATCGCAGGGCCCTCATTATATGCACCATTCACCATGAGGTCTAAAGACGGTCATCATGTCGATTACTCCTAATGATGTGTGCAGGGGAGGATTACCGAGCGATCGAGGGGAACGTCAATACCGTCTAGCTATACCGAATTCGAAAATTTGAAGGAAAACGAAAGGAGCCCCAGGATGGAGACTCCCTCATTAGGCTTTCGCCGACCGCGAGCACCGAAAACGGGGAGGGGTTCGGCAAGACTATTGACTCGCGTAGTTTAGATTCACATCGGGCTTGTACTCCGGAACGAAAAGATATTCCGCAGTCTACAACGCCACCACAACCGCCGAACGCGAAGGCAGGCCTCCGAAAGGAACTGAATCGGAAAAAGAATTTGCTTTTTTCGATCATGCATTGGAAAAAGCTAGAGAACCCTAGCAAAACCAGTGTCTCGTTTGTCTTTAGAATCTTTCTCGAAAGGAAGCGAACAGCAACCAAGGACCGCGTCACAGGGCAGAATGAAGCAGAGCTCTCACAATGGGAAAAAAGTAGGAGGAAAAAGATTTTTACAAAGTTCGTGTTCTTTTGAAAGACGGGACGTCTCGACAATCCATTTCCAAGGTACCACCAAGTCAGAGAATCAAACTCTTGCTGCTGCTTCTGTTGGCATAGTGACTCAGTGACAGGACAAGTATGCGGCTCGTGCGAACCGATGACAGACCGCTAAGGACCTTGACATTGTTCGCTGCGGCGGTGCGGTCGCACGCGGCCGCCGCTACTGTTTCCATTACAGAGCGCGCGCCACACGCCGTCGAAGTCTCGTCTGGCGCTCAGACACGGACGGTGACGGCTAGCGGCTACCGGTGCTGAGGAGGGCGCCTTCTCTGGGACCCTTCTCATTCAAGGCGTTCTCTGTTAATGAGAGGGTCCGTTTAGAGCGGCGCTCGACAGCTGTCCAGAGCGTTCGTTCTTTCTGTCAGTAGTTCTAGAGAAACGAGGGGTTGCCGTAGTGGTCTGTCTGAGAAGCAAGCTTCGAAGCAACTCCGTCGCAGCCATTAGGACACCTTCGTCCGCGCCGACCGCTCGGAGCGGGTTATTCTGGCAAATAACGCGAATTTTATCGCCTCCGCGGTACTCCACCAATCGATCGGGATCTGCCATCGAATAAGCGTCCTAATCGGCCCATGAATTCGATGTAGCACGCTATTATAATCTTGTTAGAACAATGTTGATTTATTCCTCGTGAGGGATGAGAGGTTTTGTCAGTGGGGAGGGGGCTTTCGAAAAGAGGGAAATATCCATCACTCGGAAAACGAGCGATGTTTGAGATAACCACATCCGCTTCGCTAGTTAGCCGGAGTTCCCGGCTTTAATACGAGGGCTTCGTGCTCTTACCCCTACACCGGTGTTAGAAGCAGAATTGCAAAACTCGTCTAACCACAAAAACCTCGACGAAACAGCGTGCGCTCGGTCAGAGTCTTCCCTCGGCATCCCATGGTATCGACTCACAATCAAAGTGTTCCGGGAACATTCCGGAAATTCGGATCGAAGAAATGATTCCTCGGGTCGTACTCCCCCTCTGCGACGCTCTCCTCATCACGGACGCGGAGTTCGTTGCCTCGTGGACCGATCGGAGGTTCAATGATGCGGGAAGGCGTCAACGCGGAAAAATGCTCGCTTGCCTCGTTTTCGCAGCCACCGCCACTCTTACAAAACCTATTTTTGGGGCTCTAAGCGGGTGTCGAGCATTCGGCTGTAATCCTTCTCGGGATGGACAGCGATAAAAAAAAGTCTCAGCTACGTATGTTGGAGGAAACGACGAAATCTGCCAACACCGCGTGGAAAGTATTTTTGCTTCTCCTCAAGGAGCTCAATTCGGGATACGACGGCTCCCGGGAAGAGATAGAGGAGAAGATCCGGGGGGAAACTGGTAAGCTACTGGAGCAAGCGTTCACTCACCTAGAACTAGGGTGAGCATGTCTGCGACAGCCAAACTGAAGAGATAGTAGTTGGTCGCAGTATGCATGTGAGGGTTCTGCACGATGACAATGCACGTTGAGAGATTCCCAACGAGCCCCGTGACGAATATCAAGGAATATATTATCGTGACCGGCAACAGTTTGTTCCACGCAACCTGGCGCGGACCTGTAGGGAATTAAGCGCTTTAGCGAGTAGACGAATATCAATGCCCCCTTCCTGTTATTGAAACCTCTCCGGATATCCCTTAGTTCAGACCGGAGAGCTCGCCGGCCCGCACGTCTACCCCTCCGTCTGTGAGTCGCGAACCCTGGTTCAACCCCTCCTCTGCCCAGTGGCGTCTCCTCCTCGGGGCTCTAGCCCTCGTTTGTGATTTTGAAACATGGGAGTGTGTCGCCATTCGAGAATTCCGGAATCACGGCAATCGATCAAATTCAGGGATCATCTGCCCACCGGAATAGAAGAGACGGATAACCTTCCAGGGAATGGGATGGCCACGAAGAGAAAGAGATAAGCGGATAGCGCCTTACTTCTCGGACGCGAGGTGAAGGTTTCGGGTCAAAGACCAGAGGCCCTCACCGACTAGGTTGTCCCATGAAACTGAGACGAGACAAGAGACTCTAATTTGCGAGATGTTCATCTCCGTAAGTCGAATGTGGTCTGAGGAGTGCGCGATGACAAGCTCAAATTGGTGTTCGAGCCTTTCGCTCAGCTTGTCGCACTGGCTCCCGGACAGTTTCCCGCGAAGCCTACGCCGCACCGTTTATGGTTGTTAATGACTGACCGAAAGACCGACCGAGCGAGTGACCAACCAGCCGTCCGCACAGGCGACGGACTGGCCGATTGGCCGCTCAGCGCGGTGGTTGGCCGCTACGGACGCTAAATGGGACTTGAGCGAGGTCTACGACCGCAGACTGACCCAGTAGCTGTGAGAGGTACAAGTCCACCTCGGCGACGTTGGATGGATCCGGCAGGGGATTGCTGAGTCGCGGAAAGGAGGGAATAAGCTCCAGAGTGGCGTTCTCTCTGACGACCAGCGAGTCCATCGTAGTAGAGATGTTCGTCACCGAATGAGCCGCACCGAATATGCTGATCCCGCCGTTCACATCCATCGACGTAATTCCGCTGGAAAGGAAAACAACAAGGTGACTTCCAAGTTCGCATGGTTCGGATGAGTTCACTGAAAAAAATCATTTCGGTTGCTGAGCCCCACTCTCGGCTTCCTCCAGCTCTTGCGATGACGTCAGGGGAGCACAATCCATGCCCTACAAAAGGTGCGAATCAGATCCGAGAAAGACCGGTCCCTGCTCTTTTCGAGGGATGGAACGCAGTCACGGCTGCAGGGAAGCGAACGCGGATTGAGAGAAGTGGACGTGTTCCGGCTGAAGATGACATTCTGAACGCTTGAAGTGGCATCTCGGGAGAACGAAAATTTCAATATCACAGAACAATGAAACTCCGGAAATCATTGGGAGGGCGATTGCGGGCCAGGAGATGACAGGAGCAAAAGTTCGGTCATGATTGGAAATCGTTCGTGAGAGCGTATTTCTCCCTCGTCCTGCTCCTGGAGATCGGAACAAATTAGCGCTGTCATTCATGGAGTAGGAGGGCAACGTCTTAGAAAACTCAGCAGGGCTCATCGAAAGGAGGCGGGGGACCGCGATCGGACCCGTTTCAGAACCGGAACGGCGATCGTATCTCCTTGATCTCCCGGCTTGAAGCTCCGGATTGCCTGTTACCAAGCGAGGGGTAGAGAGAGTGGTTGCGGAGAATCCCGGATCAGGTGGTCCCGAGCTAGATGCTAAACCTCCGATTTCCCAAGTCTTTGATTTCTCGTGTTCAATCGTTCCAAGCGAGCGTCGGGAGAATATTTGCCCCAGGAGGCTCCTCAAAATCAGTCACCCGTTGCGATTCCGTGCTCCGTGTGTTTTGATTTACCCAGGAAAGCTGAGCAGCTGTCCAGAATGGAGGAGCGCTCTTCCCCGCTAGCCGAACACACCCACAAAGAATTCCACAGCCTTGACGCGAGTCGGTATCAGGCTTCGCATGGGATTGCATGCGATCTACATAAATATAGGTAGGCCCACTGTCGAGCGAGGTTCCTTGTGCTAGCAGTGTTACCGGTAAGCCCTTGTGTTACGCGACCGCCAAGTCTGTAAGTGTAAAGCCGATGTCGCAGGCAGTTCCGAAATGCTGCGGAAAGCGAACACCCACACCGAGCACGACAACACGGAAATTCCACGCTCAGACGAGCGGACCCGAACCGAGCGTCGACCGGAGGCACATGGCTTCGAGAAAAAGTTTCGGAGCAGGTCCCAGCAGAAAAATCCGGACGCGAAATCTCTCAATTGAGTGATTGGCCGCTCCCAAAAAAAGGAAAGAGAGGCTCCGTGAGAATTTTTCTGGCGAACTGTAGCCGGAAGGCCCTAAATAGGCACCATAAAGAAAAGCGGAAGAGAAGGATCCTCGACAAAGAGGAATTCTCAATAATTTTCGCTTTTTTTCCTCGAAGGTTCTCGCTCATCTCCCGAAAGACACGAACCTGCGGAATGCATGAAAATCGTGACATGCCGATAATCACTATGATTATCATAGAGCAATCACATGCCGATATCTTGATTCCCGGTGCCGGTTAGGTCCCAGTAAGCCGAATGGACGAATTTCGGCGTTCTGGGTTTCTGCGTTCCAGGTTTCGGCTTTCTGGGTTTCGGCGTGAAGGTTTCGGCTTACTGGGTCTATACCCCCGGTGCCAGCTTCGAAGACTCATGCTTTTCTCGGAGGATGTGCTCATCGGGGGAGTCTTGCGAGTCGCGTCGCGACGACAGAAAGGTCAGTCTAGGTCGGACCCACGGAGCAAGTTCGTCCAGTCGAACTTTACTGGCACAGGCTTCGATTGCACGGCTCCCACCGGTCAGCAAATCAACCGTCGTTAGCTACCGATTAGAGTTTAGGAACTGTGACCAGATAACTTGTTGGGGAATCGCACGACTGGGATAGCCTTCCAGGCGGGTCGTGTGTCATCGGATTCCCCGGATTCGAATCACTCCGCCCCGGCAAAGTAACGAAGTGCCGGGGGCGAGCGTTTCTTCCCGCATGAATATTAAGTCTGACTGGGTTAGTCTGGTGAAACAGTCCATCTCTCGAGTCGTAGCGGTCGAAAGTTCCCATCATGTGAACGATTTCGAAATCGATTTCGATCCAGACAGACTTAGTGCTTGGACGAGCCGGAAGTCGTTCGGATCGAGGCTTCAAGCAATCATTCCGTCGCCGGAGGATTCGATACGGAGTAGAGAGTTCACGCCGACGTACTCTTGTCGTTGTTGTCTCACTACTTTGTTTTAAATGTTCTAATATATGCTCGTGTGATCGTCTCAGCGTCGTCCGGCAGCCGGCGTTTTACGATAATTACCACCAGCGGTGTGACCGCTGAGATTGAGCAGGGTTTCGAGTGGCGGACAGAAGCTGCAAATTACTTCAGTCGGTCAAGCTCAGAGTAAGCCGCTCGGAAAATTCGAACACGGCTCGGAATACCACGCTCACCGCGACTCTTTCTGGCATCGCGCTTCCTCGTTGGTGTTTTCCCTTCCTCTCTGCAGTCCGTCTGAGTCTCGGAGAGAGCCAGAACTCTAGTGTTTGCACACGAGTTGAGCACGGATCGAAAGATTCTCCTCAAGGTCAAGGGATCGAATGGGATGAGTCTACAGAGAGAATCGCCACGATCCTTCGCGAAAGAATAACTCAATTAACTTTTTCTGGAACTCTTACGGGTAAAAAATCAAATGAACCGCCCCGTTATTTACGGGACGGCACCGAAAGACGTTGTCTTTCATCTCCCTTCTCGATAAATTTTTATCGATCCATTGTCAGACTTGGAAAAATTTCAGGTTCGATCGATGAAGACGAGATAAGTGGTGAGAGGAATCGCAAGCCATCTGTATCGACCGCTGATATCAGGACTAATTCTTGATGGAGGCACGTTGCACTTACAGAGTCTTCCGACTCCTCGCCACCGTGCTCATTCCACCATTCTCGAATGCGTAGACTGATTTCTGAGAAGCATGCAAACAAACATCCGCAAGCCCATGACTGCGTCGCCTCACGGAATCAAACGGTCTCGTCAAGCAGAAAATTCGACGCACTCCAAACTTTGCATGAGCGGCGGAGGGCGTCTGATGGAGCAGCCGGCCCCCGCTCCAGTGGTGAATCGCTGCCCCTCTAACACGTTGGAGGGTGCGACCGACACAAGTTTGAAGAAAGCGAAAAAGGAACTCGTCCGTGGCAAAGACTCATAACTCTTGATTAAGCCGATCCACTCTGAACTTCGAGAGAACAGCCATGACATTTACGTGGAGAGGCTCATCATCATCGGCAGTTGGCGTGTGCCGTCGCATCTCGAGGAAAAAACGAAGCTTCTCCTAGAGCTGCTCGAGTTTGACAGCTCGTGGTAAAGTTCGAGCATAGGCTCATGTAGAATCGCCCGCATGGCGCAGAAAGCTCACCTGAACTCGCGGTGTTTATGTAATTCGACGAGGTAAACAAACCCCTTGGGTTACTTTGTTCGCGATAGGATCGTCATCACACACCGAGTTCCGACATTATTTGCGGAGCGTCGAGCTCGCAAGCATTCAATCGGAATAATGAAGGTGTTCCCTGGGGTGGATACGGGCTCGAACATGTTTAGCGGACTCACAACAAAAGTCTAAACAGTAGGTATCGACAATATACGTAGATCATTTTTCGCTGGGTTCCGGTCTGGGGACGGAGTCTCAATCGACAAGCATCTATCATGTGGAATCCTGGGTCCTATGGGAACAGCGATCCGAGGACGACTAGCTAGACGACCTTAATCAGCGAAGATGGCCACAGGCTCGCGACGATATACGGTGGTCAAGCGAAGTGTTTGTGACGAGTCAAAGCATCCCTATCTCTCTTATCTGTTTTTTTTTCGCAATCGCGTGAGCGCCCATCCTAGAGAACCTGACTAGATGGTCGGCAATCGTCACCTACGGAAGCACCGACAGTGTTCTACGGAGATCAACGAATCGATAGCGAGCCTGACTCAACTTCTGACAGAAACACGTGGCGATGGGTCAACGCGAGTCGACTCCAAATTAAATTACGCTGCTCTGTGAAGCATCGAGGAACTGTTGTATTACGATTCCAGGGAGTCATGCTCGTTCGGAACCGAACTCTATCGCTATGTCCCGAGGTGACGGCTTTCCTTCAGAATGAGCTGAGAAAAACGCTCCGATGTGCGTTCCGGATAGTTCCGATCCTCGTAATTGAAAGTCGATCAGTCGTTGACCAGACGCTTGAGAACTCTTAGGGATCCGAAAGTCTAATCACGCATTCCCTGGCCTCTTGTCGCAGATGTTTGTGTGCATCAGAATGGTGTGGGTCACGGATGTGTTCAAATCTATGGGGACAACTCAACCTCGACCCCGAAATCTGTCCGGATTGACTCACTGATCTCGAAAATCGGAGACTATTCGGTGGACAGGCAATCTGCTAGGTGCCCTGTCTGTCGATCAATCCCAATCTGTGAGGCTCTGAGGAAAGCTCGTGAAGCCCTCCTATATATAGAATTAGTTCAGACGCTCCGTTTTTGCTCGAGAGGCTTCAAAGTCGTGTGAGATTGAGCGACAAGGGGAGTCGGGATAATCAGTGAAACAGCTTCCGAAAATTCCCTATCTACGGCGGCGATCACACGCATTCCTGACCAAACTCAGTCAGCTCGGCTTACGAGGATTGTCCAGGAACGCCGACGAACCCCGATGCCGATTCAGATTCTCTCAAGGAGATTAACCCGCGTCCGATTCCTCGGGGGCAAGAACCCCTCTGAAATCTTGGTGGGCCTTCTCCTAAAGCCTCGCCTCTCGTTGGAGGGTCCAAGGACATCGAAGTTGCACCGCAGTCAGAGGGATGATTTTTCAAAAGTACCTTATCCGAGTTC